AAAGTTTTAGTTTGCTTCCGCCGAACCATAAGTTTCAATATGTGCGCCCAAAAGTAGGCTATTAAGAGCTTAGTAATTCATCAGGCAAATAATTACAACTTAATATTTAATCTCCTTGAAGATTATTAATTAAAATCTCAACATATTTTTATAAATTTTTTTATTATTTATTTACGTATGCCCAAAAATATGCTACGCTAACTATTCACTAATACTGTCATACTGCTTTCGTTGTATGGTATGGTATTATGATATTCCTCTTTGCAAATTTACCAACGCAAATATTTTTATATTTTGGCAGCGATTTGGTTAAAGTTACCGTTATCTACCGCCAGAAACCGAACAAACTTTCGTTAAAATATGCGCATGAATGCGTGGTTTGTCGAGATTTATTTTAAAAACTTTATCATAATATTTATCAGAGAATGCTGGGTTGGTCTAAGCGCCTAAAACTGTGCCACTTATAATTTGAAATTCGATAAAATAAAACTTTCGCTAAGCTCTAACTGTAGTTTTAGTATCATTATCGTTAAACATTTGCACAAACGGCATTTGCAATATCTCCAGTTTCTCAAAATAATTACGCCAAAAAGTATGCAGCGGAAATTGTAATAAGTGCGTACAAACAGCACAAAACTATTATATATTACGAATTTTCCGTTTCGAGTAATTGCAAATCTTCTAGTAAACCGCTAACTGTGCCATGCAGCGAAACGCCCAAAAGTATGCAGCACGATTTATTTAACGCTAAATACCCAACATATTGACGGCGGTTACCGAAAATGTAAGCTTTGTGGCGATGCTGGAGCGCAAAATCCCGAAACTTCTGACTATGCTTATGTGTGTGTGTGTATAAAACCAACAAGCCCGAAAGTATGCTACGCGTAAATAACTTTTTCCATCATGCCATTGAAAACTGGGTAAAATTTAATTTTCCACGTGCTTTTGTGCGAGAAAATGTGAGTGAGACGAAGGCAGGCGCGGCAGGGCGGGCACGACAAACCGTTAGAAGTGAATATTTGTTTGTTTGTTTGTTTTGGTGAGAAAAGTCGTCGCAAAATATGCTGCTTATTGAAAAGTTTGCGCTAAACACTGAACGGGGTGCGGAGAGGGTAGTAGGTGCGAATGAAACGGTGAGCTGAGTCAAAGCAGCGATGAAAGGATGGAGGATGGAAGGTGGAAAAAAGTTAGTCGTCATTTATAGCAAACTGAGAATCACATTGCAGCGGCCAAAAAGGGGTGCAAACGAAAAGGTGTAGCACAGAGTTGAAAATTAGTAAGTCGAGCACTGCAGGAAGGGTAAAAGCTGAGCAGTTGGAGGGCAGGCAAGCTGAAATTAAATTGGCGGCGGGTTGGTGCTTAAACAAAGTGCTGTTGCAGAAAAAGCAAAGGGCTGACAAAGTTTATTCAACAAGTGGGGTGGTGGCAAATGCAATTGTGTAAGCGAAGACGCAACAAAAAAGTTTTCGAAAATTATTTATTTCGTGTTTTTTACTTTCTTCCGGAATTTTTGCGGCCACACTAAAGTAACGGCATCTTTGTGGCAAGCGCCACCCATATTTTTCAACATTTGCTGGCAGTGACAGCATTGTGCTAATGTTGCCACTACAGGTGAACGGCAGCAGCGAGGGCAATAAAGTTGTAAGCTAAGCAAAATAAGTTGCGCATTACAATTACAGCCGAGTTGTGGACACTTTGGCTATGAGACATTACAGCAATAACATGCCCTTACCCTGCAACACGCAGCGCACTTGCAACATGACAGCCAACAAACCGCCTTGAACTGGCAGCAAACATTTTTACAATGAGCACAACAAGAACAAGAGCGTAGGTAATCAATTACAATTTGCGGCCAACGAAAACCCGCTACCCGCACCGCGTATGTGTGCGCCGCCAGCCAGCAGCCATTGCAGGGCCAATCATAGTGGCCGCCACACGCATAAACAATGCAAATAACTTAATTATATAGTGATTGAAATTTGCCGACTGCCGCCGCACAGGGATGCTATGCTGGCAAGCTGCTGAAACCACTAATTTTCGTGCGCCAGCCCTTGTGCGCCACCAAATAGCCATAGATCTTTTCGTGGCGCTGCTAACGTCATGAAATTTATGAATGCACAATCGAGTCGTGTCAGCACCAGCATGCCGTGGCAAACACTAATTCAGTTACCCCTTTGCATATACATACATATAGAGATTGTTTACCTGCCGTACGCCTATTTATATGCCTTAGTTCTTTGTGTGTGCCAACATAGTCGATTGCGCCCGCAGCTAAATTAATTAAAGGCCATCTCTATGCTAAAACCTGAATCGTGGCATACTTTTAGGCGTATATAAGTGTTTATTGTAGTCGACTGCATGTGTTAATACCGATTTAATGCCGTCGCGTTTCAATAACATACGCAAAAGTACTGCAATTTTAATAATAAATTGTGGGTATTATTCTAATACAATAGGTAAAAGTGTGATTACAGGCGCTCGCACGCACGCAGGCAGCACATGCGCTTTAACCGTGTTGTATTATGCAATTAACGCGCCATAACTGACCTTGACGCAGACAATTTGGAACGATTTGTGAGTAGATACTCGATTAGGGTAATTATTAAAGGCAAAATATCGCATTTAGGTGAACGTGCGTGTTTGTGCTCAGTATATGGCAGCTATAAAACTAAAATAACCTCCATCAGATGTTAAAAAAAGGCAATATTCATAATATTATAAAATATTTAAATAAATATTTTATTAAAATACTTTTAGGCGCAAATGAATAATGAATGGAAAACATTTCAAAAATGTTGCGAATGCATTGGTACATTTTTAGAAAATTTGATATTAAAATCATTATATATGGAGAAAAAAAATTCAAAATTGTTAAGTAGACTTTTAGGCGCAAATTAAAAATATTATATAATTTAATTATTTTCTGAAAAAAGTAAGTAGGCAAAATTAATGTTCTAAACACTACGAGAACAAAGGAAGTTAAAAAACTCAATATTCGACATAAGTTATTAAAAAATAAATTAGAAAATTGTAAGATAATTTTAGGCGCCAATGTTTAAAATTGAGTAATTTGAATGAAAAATATCTCTAATGACTGTAATGGTCCAATTTTGGAAAATTTTACATTGCTATTTTAGGATATTAAGAAAACTGAGTTAAAAAATTTGTAAAATATATTTAGGCGCAAATTATTAAAAGTTGTAAGGAACTCAATTATTTTGTATTATTTTCATACAGAGTTAAATTAATAGTCCAAACATTATGCGTTACTGAAAAAAAAAACAATTTTAAAACTGCTTTTAGGCGCAAATGGTTAAAAATAAGTAATTGATTCTATTAATGGAAAATATTTATAAAATATTGTGCACGCAGTAGTAAAACAATATTTCTAATTGTATTAAAAATACGTTGAATTGTATAAAATTTACTCTAATCTATAATGAAATACAAAATCAATAGCATACTTTTTGCCGCAAGCTTTATTAGCAAACTACCAAAAAAAAATCATTTATAAAACTTGGTTTTTACAAGTCAAATAAATGTTTCATCCAAAATCACTACAATAAAATAATACTTAGAATGTTAAATAATGAATTTGAACAACCCAATTACTATTGCCTACCTCTAGGCGAAGATTTTATAAAGTACAAGATGTGACAATTTCGAATAAACAGTTTATAGTCTTAATTAGTGCAAATCATATTGTATATAATACATTTATAAACACATCTGCGGTTTATGAAAATACAGCATATTTTTAGGCACATGCTCAATTTGTACTTCTTATTATTTATTAATTAGCTATTGAAATAGTTAAGGTAATTAAGCAAATGTTCATTGCTTAATATCATAGCTGAATATTAGTGTTAGTATACGTAAGCACGAAATACATTAATCTGAATGCTTTATAGCATACTTTTAAGCCTCAAGGCGAAGCAAAAACTTTTAAAACAATATAATTAATAATTAAGGAAATAAGTTATCTCCTAAAGTTGCCATATTAGCAAAAAAAATAAATTCTTAATTTGATTGATATGTGTACTTAGCTACCAAATATGTATATTTTAACTTTTTCTTGCCTAATTTTGGGGCTTAAACCAAAGAAAATTTTAACGAAAGTAAAATTAATTAAAAGGGCTGTCACGGAAATTGCAATTATATAAAAAAAAATTAGCTTCAAAATGTTTTGTATGTGATTTAAAAATTTAGCATACTTTTAGGATGTGAAATTTATAAATAACTTTTTAATTAAAAATATATATATATAATTTCAGTTAATAAGCAAGTTTTCTCACAAAATTTGCTCAATCAATATATTTTATACGTTAAACCTTAAATTTCTAGTGTGTGACTAAAAATATTTAGTATAAATTTAGGACGTGGAATACTTAAATTAATTTTTCTTATTAAAAAAGTTTTCTTTTGATAATATAAGATAATTTTCTGTAATATTATAAGAATAAGATACGTAAACATTTTCCGATAGTATATTGTTTATGTAATTTGCCAGTGTTTAGCAGAGATTTAGGCGCAGAAAATTTACTTTTCGGTCTAAGTATGAAATTTGCAAACTTCTATTTGTTTTCATGTTAAACAAACGTTTAAAGAATAGAAAAATTTTAAACGGATAATAGAGTCTTGAAATTCATTATAAGCGCACAATAGTGTGCTACAAAAATTAGCTAACGGGTTTTAATGATCCAGATTTCTAGAAAAATATATCACGCATGTTTAAAGTCATATATTTTAGATTATAAAAATAATATCGGTTATTAATGCAAATGAGTTATTACAGTTATGACAGAGTATTTAGAGATAGGCAACTGAAAAAATGCCTCCTTCGAAAATATTTATTAAAGAAACGTTTATAATTTTTTAATTAAAAGTTTAATTTTTTTAATTTTAAATGTTTACAAAAATATATCCATTAGCATATTTTATTTAAAAAAAATTCTCAAAAAAGGTTCCTAACCGATTCTACTTTTTTCTCACCTAAACAGGTCATTTCACTCGAAGGCTGGACAGATATAATGTATTACGTACAAGACGCTGATAGCTTTTGGGATTGGATATATTTCGTGCTGTTGATTGTGGTAAGTAAGCCAAACGAAGGTAAAAACTGTTAAAGGAAACTTTAGTTCAAGTATGAAATTTGGATTTATATAGCATACATTTAGGCGAAAATGGTTTAGAGACATGAAAAAGCACTCGCAAGAGATATTTTCTCGAAATTTCATAGGCCTATTAAGCATCTAATGTCGCTCTAGAGTAGAAGATTTTAAATGAAAATTAGTTCCTATGAAATTTGGCATTATATGGTATACATTTAGGCAACAATGTTAATTTTGTGCATTAGTCAAAAGACAAAGCATTCGCAACGGATTTTATTTTAGAATTTTTGTGTGCTTAATATACCTTACATCACTTTTATATATAATAGAAAATATTGGTATGAAATTTCGAATTATATGGTATATATTTAGGCAACAATGGCTCACATACATGAAAAATCATTCGGAAGTTTTTTTTTTAAGTTTTATGAACATATTAAGCATATCACAACGGCCTTATATAGAGGGAGAAATGGTAAACAATATTTATCTAAAATTTAGAAATTTCGAATTTTATGGTATACATTTAGGCGTTAATGCTATTTATGAATATAAGTATATGTTTTGGAAACATGCAAAAGACACTTGTGAATTAATTCTTTCATCGATTTCAAATAGAATATATATAAAATTTGTGAATATATTGATTATGGAGATTTTAGGTGCCATTTTAATATGTTGTGAATATTCACAAGAGCACTGCATCTGCCATAAAAAGGTGATACAAGTACTTTTTTAAAGCTCAATAGTATTCTCAAAATATATACACGAATACCTTCCCGCCTCTCAGCAAATTGTTATAACAAAGTAATAACAAAGTCTCCGGGGAAAGCTCTAAGTCAGCGCATACTTTCAGAAAATTAAAATAAAGTTCTGAGGCTTACTTAATGTAATTCAGTGCTTCATTATATTACCATTTAGTAGATTGCTTCCTGGAAAAATTTAATACAACACTTTTTTTAAATTTATACCACTACTATTTCAGTTGAATTAAAAGCTTTGCTCAGCCTCTTCAAACCACTTAATTTCAATTTAACTAAATGCTTCTAAATGAGGCCACGAAATCGTGAATTTATTTTATTTATTTCCAAGCATTTTTCTACTTCTTTATATGACCATTTTTACGCTGCGGTGGAGAGTGTGTGCGTAAATATATACCCAAGAGCATATAAAATTGCCATAAAAAGTAGTGACAAAAAGGTAATCAGAGAGAAAAAAAATCAATTTACGCATAACTCAGCTGAGGGACTACAAGTGCTCCCACAGCGCTTTCGACGCGCACCGCCGCAAGGTCAGTTAGGCTGGCACATGCGTTTGCGGGATTTATATCCGATTTACTTGTTTTTTCTCGGCTATTTGTAGGTATTTAGGTACGTACGTGTGTATGTAAATGTGCGTGAGAGCATACAGTTTAATGGTATTCGCTTTGCTTTGAGTTTCAGGGCTTTGTTCTAGCTAACCGAAACTCAAAAGGTAAGAGTAAGGTAGATGTATTGGCACAAAAAGATTAAAAAAAAGGCTCAAAGCAAGAGTATTAGTGAACTAGTAGACTTGACCTCTAGTTTTTGTGACAAGAAGTAAGTTAGCATTTAACAAAAATACAAAATTTTAAATAAATTTTGCCAAAAAGACCTACATTTACTTTCTTTTGTTTTTATCTGCCTGTGATGCGCCTCACGAAACACTAAAAATAGAGAAGTTACACTTTAAAGTGCCTAAAAGTATGCTTTAACGAGCAACGCAGCAGCCAAAACTTTGAAAATACAAGGTTTTAAACACCTCCGCAGTCGTACAGCCAAGTCAACCTGTGTTTCTGCTTACACAAACAAACAACGCCTAAATGTATGCCCAACTTATATATTTTGGGATGTAAGGCGCTTGTATAAAAGTAAAAAGGACCAGCGACCAACAAATGAAGCGTAAAAATTTAATATTTCATAAGAATGAAAATTCAGCGCTTCGAAAATAATACCCGCCCTTATTGCTTGTGCTCATAGTGGGCAGGTGTAGCTTAGGCTGCTGCCGCCAACAACTGATTAAATAAGCGCTTTGTTGTAGCGCTGACTTGTCTGGTTGAATGATTTTTCATGCCGGAGATTTTGTAGCATGCTTTTGGGTACACAAACTCAGCATCAAACGCATACCTTCCCCGCCTTCATTGGCCTAGCTGCCAACGGCTGGGTTGGTATCGTTGCCGCACACGAATTTATTTATACCTATTCAATATTTCCGTTTAGCTTTCAATTGATTTTTAACATTTCGCTTGCCTACACTTCAGCGCACCGCAAATAGCATTTAATTTAGCTTATGCCTTTCATACTTTTCGGTGCTTTTTGCTTAGTTGGCAACAACATTTTGTTACACATCCGTATATGTTTACAGGAAATGAGCAGGAAAAGAGAAATTGTCTACGTCAGCGGCAAACAGCGAAATTTATCAGCCAATTAGTGTGCATAATCATTTGTGTGTTACGCCTGAAAGTATGTTAGAATAATATTTTATTTACTGGCACGTGTAGCAATCGCATAGAATTTTCGAAAAGGAATGAAAGCACAAAATTCAAAACATATCGATGTTATACACATGTATATACATGCAATTTTATGTTAAGTTGTGCTTAAAAGCGTGCAAAATTAAATATAAAATATTTTTTATATGCGCAGATACTTTATGTTATTAATTCAAAAAGAATTTGGGGAAATTAAAACTATTCATCAAGGAAAAATTACATAATGGTGCCTAAAAGTATGCTAAATAAAATAAAATAAAATATAATTGTATTGTGTTAAAAACACGTAGTAGGGCCTTAGTTTATTTTTTTTTTTTTAAAGTAATTATGGCAGTTAAAACAATTCGCCAAGAAAGAAAAATATGAAGGCGCCTAAAAGTATACTAAATACCTAAACCAAGCTTTTGTAAATTGATGCCTGTTTTCTATTCCCTCTATTTCCGTACAACTCTTGCTCTTTAATAACAAGATCATGTCCCAAAAGCATAAACTACAACTTTGCGTCGAGTTTCAGGTAGGCATAATTTTAGGCTTAAATCTGTATTTTTCTTACATCTGAATAACAACAGCTGGCTATTACCAACAAACAAGCGCCCATGCATGTGTTATGTGGCGCATTCACGTGTTAAAATAGCAGCCCGTAAGTATGCAAATATATGTCACAATTATTTACGCACTTATGGTAAATTAACTGGTGATTTATGTGACGCACTCGCTACTTTCAAACTTGTTCGTAATATATTTAGAACTTGAAGGGAAGGTACGCTTTTGTTAGACTACCTTAACAGCTAATTAAATTGCAGCTTGTTTACAATATGGGACATATGTAGCATACATTTTGGGGTAAAGTAAGGTAGAAATACAGGAATATATATAAATTTTTGTAATCTCGCCTAAAAATATACAATGGAAACTTAAAAAATATGTTTGTAAGTTGCTTTCAACCCAAAATTTGGTATGATTATATCTAAAATCATATAATGCTAATTACCCGTGCCTCAGAAATTCTCTTAAATACATAAGTGCCTACAATTATGCCGTAAAATTGGTCTGGTATGCCTTCCAAAACTTTTAAAATTTCTATAGTTTTATTAAATTGCTCCATAAAACCCATTAAGCAAAATATTCTTACGCCAAAATATTTAGTAGTTTGCTATTTGCCTATTTATAAATAGTTGCGCCAAAAGATATGCTATTTAAATGTCCAAAACTGTCAAGAACTCAAGCAAATTCTCATATTTAAGTCAACTTTCTAGAAAACTTTTAATTTAAAAATACTCTGAACCTAATTTCTAATATTGGTGAGGAATTTGCACAAGGTAAGCTACAAGCTAAAACCCTTTTGTATTGTTGTCACAATTATTTACAAACAAGCAAGCTCACGTGTAACCAGGTAACCTCAGCCATTTCCCAGATACACGAAAACAAGTACTTGTTTAGGGATAACAAATTCAATTTGGTTGTTGCCACAGGACATGAGTGCCCAAAAAACAGCAATATCAAATGTGGCAAAAGGACAGCAAAGTGCCAAGATATACACAAAAGTATATAAACCATAAGATGAAAAGTATTGAGGATAGTTCAGCTTATTGATTGAGTTTTAGAAAGTAAGGTAATAGGACTGAGATTGGAGTTTAATGACAAATACTTATTAAAGAATGCAACAGTGATAGACTGGAAATGCAAAGTAGATTTTACTATTTTGTTTGTAATTCTCATTATGTTTATCAAAAATGCAAGATCTTTTCAAAGCAGCCTGAGGTAACTATTTGGGCACTTGGTTCTTAGAAAACGATAGAATCGCAAGTAGAAATATATTTTTAAAAAACGTTTGAAGTTATATACTATAAAATGCATGAATTTATGTGATAACTGAAGCTTAGGCATATTATAAACTACTCTTTCCGCAAGGAACCATATCTATATAGGTGCAGCGAACTTAATATATCAGCAAGAGGTTCGCTGAACTCGAATTATTAGTCGCTATGATCGGCTTTGCCCTTAAGAAAATTTAAGCTTCAAAATTTTCAGTTCTACGGCGGATTTTAAACATAAATATCACTGTATCATTACATAAACCATCAAAATCAGAGTTCAAAAATACTGTAGGAGCTAGAGAACCGTTTCAGTTCTCAAGTTCTCTTTCAGTATCACCCGTATACTCCTCTCAGTTTAGTTCTCTCAGTGTCTCCGTCCATCTACTCCATCTATTTCTCTCTCTCCATATATTTATGAAAATATATCTCTCTCTCTATCGCTCTCTCCCTCCTTAGCATCTTCAATTCTCTTTATATATTTCTGTCACTCTAATTCTTTTGATTTTCCTTTCCATTTTCACTCTGTGATTTTTCTTCATTTACTTGTATCCCCGCAAACTTTTGGCCTCCTCCACATTTATAATCCCCTAAACATTATTTTGAAACTGAACAAGAGTAAAGAGTAAACTAAACATTTTGCACAACAATTAGCCACT